ATTATTATCAATATTATTATTAATATATTAATAATAGTTATTATTATTATTATTATATATATTTTATTATTATTATTATTATTATTATTATTATTATTATTATTATTATTATTATTGTTATTATTATTATTATTATTATTATTATTATTATTATTATTATTATTATTATTATTATTATTATTATTATATTATTATTATTATTATTATTATTGTTATTGTTATTATTATTATTATTATTATTATTATTATTATTATTATTATTATTATTATTATTATATATAATAATAATAATAATAATAATAATATTATTATTATTATTATTATTATTATTATTATTAACTTGATAATTTATTACTAACTGTGAGGGTTATCAAGCTTGTAACAACGTATATTTGCGTAACTTTTATTGCAATAAATCTCATCTTATTTACAATAAATCCTCTGTATTAGCAACAAATCAAAGGAATCCCTCCCTACATATCATAGGTTTAAATCCTAAATTAGTCGCGCGCATCACGCGTCTTTAATTACGATTAAATCCCTCTAATCCCACTGTAATTCAAATGTTTAAAGTTAATGTGTAATTTTGCAATTTTTATGGGCCTGGAGTCTACGTAGAGGGTTTTCCGGGGGTCAACGCCCCCGCGGCCCGGTCCTTAACCAGGCTTCTCAGTGATTCAGGGCCTGATCAACCAGGCTGTTACTGCTGGCCAACGTACGACCTACAGCCCGGCTGATCGGGTACTAACTTTAGGTATCTGTCCAGTTTCCTCTTGACAACCAGGTGTCCATTGGTAATCCCCTTTATGTATGATGGAAGGCTGTTGAACAGTCTTGGGCCCCTGACACTTACTGTTTTCTTTCAGTGTAGTAATCAGAACTCAGAGGTCAGTACCGTGACTGGGACAATACACAAGTAACTCTTACATAGGAGAGAGAAACCAGGGAAAACGTTTCGGCCCAACTTCGATCATTAACTAGTCACACACTAACACACGAAGGAAGTAACGTAGTGTAAGGTGCACCGGGTAGGAGGAACAGCATCACCTGCAAACAGTAGATTATAAGATCACACCCGCTCCTCTTCTTCCCAAGGCCAGAAACTGATGTAGTGGCCGTCGTTGCAGCATCAGTCGCCTCATCATCAGTACACTTATTTCCCAGGCACTCAAGAACTTGAGGTTTTCGTGCCAGGCTTGGATGATATACCTGTACCTTTCATAGGTTCCGAGTGTTTTTCTACTTCCAAAACCCAGTCATGGAACATGCTCGACTGGTTTTTGCCTGGTCAACCAGGCTGTTGCTGCTGGTGGCTCGCTGATCTACATATCCATCATAGCCCAGTTGATCTGGCACCAGTAAAAATTCATGTCCAGTCTCCTCTTGAGGGTCTCTGCATTTGTTCCAGCAGTGTTTCTGATATCTTCTGGTAAAGATGTTGAATAGTCTGGGGCCACGGATGCTGATATAGTGTTCCTTATTGTGTGCACTGCTCCCCTGCTTTCGCTGTGTTTATTTTGCATCTCCTCCCATATCTTTCGTTCCAGTATGTTATTACGGCAGTGTGCAAATGATGTGGGAACCGAGAAAAATGAGAAGACACAAGAAAGCACTTACCACAGATGAGGTGAGCATACAGGAATGAGAAAGTTCCTGAGGCGAGCACAATAAGGAAGAATAAGAACGGTGAAAGACTCGGAGAAGAATGAGATAATCAGTCCCTCAGAGACTGATTACCTCATTCTCCTCCTCGTCTTTCACTTTTCTTCTCAGTACTGGACTGAAGAAGCCACTAACCGATGAAATATTTCCTCATTAAAGATTCCCAAATGTTGCACAAGACTCTTCATTCTTCAACTTGTCGGTTTTTATAAGTTATTTACATCACAAGGAATAATAAATTGAAGGTAAGTCGGTCCCTAAGACGCATATAACTGGTGGCACTCAAGCGGACATGTAAGTACAGAGGCCAGACAGAAAGCAGACAGCTTGGAAGCCACAACGAAGCTGTCTATTGAGCTCTCTACTTGTATCTAGATTAAAAACTATCATGAATTATCAATATTATCTACAAGGAAGAGATCTCTTTCCCTCTCTCTCTCTCTCTCTCTCTCTCTCTCTCTCTCTCTCTCTCTCTCTCTCTCTCTCCTCTCTCTCTCTCTCTCTCTCTCTCTCTCTCTCTCTCTCTCTTTCTCTTTCTCTCTTGAGAAGTGTAAGAGAAGAGATACAGACACTAATAAAGCTGAAACAGAAAGCAAAGAGGAAACAAATGATATAATCAGAAGTTTAGAAAGAATTAAATAAAAATTATTTGGAAAACGTACAGAAAAAGTGATGAGGTGGGGAAAGTGGGAACAGAGAAGAAAAAGAAATGAACATAGGAATCAAGAACAATTATGCAAAAAAAAAAAAAAAAAAAACACGGAAAAAGCTAAAAAAAATTAATTTCAAAAATGGCACAGCAGTAAAAGCCAATAGAAATTCGAGGCAGATGCATAGCCATAAAAAAGTGGTAGAGAAAGTAAGAAACCAAGTTAAAGACTTGATAAAGGAAGTGGAGAAGGAAGAGGAAGGAAAAGGAAGTAACTATTTACCGAAGATTGAAGGAAGAAGCAAGGATGAGGAGGAGGGGGAACAGAAAAATAAACAATAATAATAAAAATTAACATAACAGAAGGTAACGAACTGATTCGTAAGGGAATGAGATAGAGTTAACTGCTGGAAAGAGGCAAGATATGACCATAGGTCTTTAGAGAAGGACAGGATTTACAAGTCACTGAAAGTGGTACAACTTCCAGGCTTCTGGGAAACTGGAAATTGAATCTGATTACAGAGAGAGGGAGAGAGAGAAAAGAGAGAGAGAGAGAGAGAGAGAGAGAGAAGAGAGAGAGAGAGAGAGAGAGAGAGAGAGAAGAGAGAGAGGAGAGAGAGAGAGAGAGAGAGAGAGAGAGAGAGAGAGAGAGAGAGGATGAGAGTGAGACGTAAAGCGCTATGTGCCTGTTAGTATCGTTGTCAAGTGTATTTTCTGTAAGTTATCAATGTTAACATTGCCTGTATGTGGTTAATATCAACATTGTCTGCATGTTATCAATACATCATAACATCAAGATTACTATATTCCGACAACTTGAAGAATTAGACATGTGAAACAGCTGGTTTTCTTTATTATGAAGACGTTTCGCCAACCAGTGCTTTAATTGCATTGTTAATGGAAAAAAAAACACTTACATACAGTTCAGGACATTTACAAAAGGAAACGTTTCGCCACGAGTGGCTTCATCAGTCCTAATGCAGAAACAAATAAGACACTGGCGAGACGTCTTCAGAATAAACATGCCGAGTTTCGCTTATGTGTCTAATTCTTCATTTTTCAATCACAAAAAGAAATGTAGCAGACAGGGCACCTTTCTAGAATATAAGAGATTCTCTACCACTCTAGCAGAAACTAGAAGAGCTGGTAATATGGCAGAGTGAAACTAGATACACAAACTAGATACACAGTGTTGGGGTATGGCATCTTTCTGCGAGGACGCTTCGCCCAGCACCAGGGTGAAGGGATCAGCTTCTTGGTTCACGGAAAGTCCTCACAGCAAATTGCCATAACCAGAGGAGAGCAGGAAGGAATATCAGTGACATTGGTGTACGTTAGGCAACTAATGTGACATTTTATTGTGGCAATGTTTCGTTCTCCAGGAGCTTTGTCAAGCTTTCCAGCAGCTTTCTTAAGCTCTCTAGGAGTTTGACAAAGCTCCTGGAGAGCGAAACGTTGCCACAGTAAAATGTCACATTACCTGCACTTGTGTCCTTTACCTAACACATTGTTGGTAATTCTACCAACATTATTACGACATTGCTGTAGTCAAAGCAGGGATGTTTGATAAGTTAAAGTCGTTGATGGCAGCTGCTGGAGCATTGAAGCGGGGTTCCCAAAGTACTGGTACTTGCACTTTTGCTGTCATTGAAGTTCATGGACGACCCACCAGAGGGAAATGTATCTTACGTTTGCACTATTTCGTCGATAATGTGATGCAGATTAGCAGTATAACCGGAGAAGAGAGAAGAGGGGAGCGACGAGCTCTCTCTCTCTCTCTCTCTCTCTCTCTCTCTCTCTCTCTCTCTCTCTCTCTCTCTCCTCTCTCTCTCTCTCTCACATACACACATTCTCTCGTCTCTCCCAATTTCCCCCCTCGTAAACACAGCGGTATTGCTTACAGGAAATGGTTTAAACTCTTGTTAAACTCTGGTCTCCCTTGCTGGTAGAGCGACAAAATTTACGTGGGGTAAAAATCAGGAAAGACTTATTTACAAGAGTTTATAAACACAGGTTCCCTTTGCGGCAGAGATGATACCAGTACACAGAAACACACAGGGACATCTCACGCGTTGGAAAGATGCTGAGCTGGTTGTGGTCTTCAGGGTAAACAGATATGAGAAGATACCTTTACTATGAAGCTTCACTCAGTGTCTATCTTCCCCCATCAACACCATCGTTCGTGAAGCTGGCATCGTTTATGTAGATGGCAGTAATGAACATTTCCACAACTTTGGCTTATATCATCAAAGAGACTTTCACGTGACACAGCAGGTAAGATATACCCTTCTCTACTTCCCATAATACTACTACTGCTACTGCTGCTGCTGCTACTACTACTACTACTACTACTACTTCTACTGCTATTACTACCACTACTACTACTATTTCTACCACTACTACTACTACTGCTGCTGCTACTGCTACTATTACTACTACTATTGTTGTTGCTGCTGCTACTATTACTATTACTACTACTACTACTACTACTACTACTACTATTGCTACTACTACTAGTGCGACTACTATATTTCCCTCTGAAGTACACGTAGAGAACAATAAGAAGAGTACAACAAGACAAACACAACAGGAGAGTGCAGTAAGAAGAGTACAAGACAGTTCAGTAAGGATAACACGTCAAGGAGAGTGCGACAAGGAGAGTACAAGAGTACAAGGATAGAGTACATACCGTCTTGTTGCCCCTGTTGTGGACTATACAGTGAAGATAAGCGATATCGTCCTTTAGAGCCGTGACATTCTGAGGAGGTGACGGGTCAAACATCGGCCCAGGTGAGTTGGGTTCCCAGGGCAGGGGGCGCCGATCTCCCCCAGGTGGCAGCGGGGGCTCCGCAGGTGCCCGTACAACACCGTTGGCATAGGAGTTGGCACTCATGAACTTGCTACAAGCAGGAGATCCTGTCAAAGAGGGAAAAAATAGCTGAATAAGTCTGTTAGTAGCTGAATAAATCTGTCAGTAGCTGAATACATCTCTGAATGGCTAAATACATCTGTCAATAGCTAAATACATCTGTCAATGGTTGAATAAATCTGTCAACAGCTAAATACATCTGTCAATAGTTACAAACATTTGTCAATAGGTGAATAAATCCGTCAATAAAACATAAGAATAGAGGAACACGGCAGCAGGCCTACTGGCCTGGTCTCAGGGCAGTTCTAATAAACGCCTAATTTTACATGAATTAAGAACTACTAAGAAACTAGACAAGGAAGATTAGCATACTAACTGTAAGAAGTTTGCAAGATTTATCTGTTTTATTACGTGTTCCTGAGAAAGTCCTGGAAACCTGCCAGAGTGCAAAACTTTTAACAGCCTTCCATTGCATTTGTGTGACAGGACTGCTTTATTGTTATTATTATTAATTATTTTTATTCTTATTCTTATTGATGTTGCTCTTATTATTTTAGTTATTTCTTCTACTACTACTACTACTACTACTGCTACTACTATACTACTACTACTACTACTACTACTACTACTACTACTACTACTACTACTACTACTACTGCTGCTGCTGCTACTACTACTACTACTACTACAACTACAACTACTACTACTACTACTACTACTACTGCTACTACTACTACTACTACTACAACTACAACGCTACTACTACTACTACTAACTCTACCACTACTATGACTACTACTGCTACCATTACTATGACTACTACTACTACTATTACTACTACTACTATTACTACTACTACTACTATTACTACTACTACTACTACTACTACTACACTACTACTACTACTACTATTACTACTACTACTACTAGTATATTCAAAGGAAAGCGCTAACCCGAAGGGGGTCATAATGTGCCTAGGGGAAATGAGAGGTAATGAGGTCTTATCCACGGAAGGAAGCATGATTGAAGCAGCTCCAAATTCTTGGACCAGGAGTCTTTGGTCAAGAACAATTACAGTGAAAAAATTTTTTTAAACGATTTCTGACGATTTTTTTTTTGTTTGGACAGTTGTTTTGCGTTTATTTTTGTTAATTAAAAAAACTCTAGTATTTTTTTTTTTGAGTATAAATTGAGAATAAATTAAAAGGTCTCTTGCTTTTTGGAGTTATTTAAATTTTTTTCTCCCCGAGGATTGATTAATGGCAAGGGAATGGCTTTTTTTTTTAAATTGTTTTAAAAATGGCAAAAAAGAGAACAATTCTGCCTGGTATTGTTTCCACAAATTTTACAAGTTTTTAATTCTCCAGGGATTTTTTTCCTCCTCTCGGAGGTATTCACAATTCTTGTCAGCACGCTTCCACTATGTACAAATCCTCGGTGTGCATTTCGAGAATGCAAGAGTCTTCATTGTACAACTGTTCAGTGGTAAATTTTACAATGTACAAGTCTTTGGTGTACAATTCTTCAATATACAAGTCTTCAGTGTACAATTCTACAATGTACAAGTCTTCGGTGTACAATTCTACAGTGTACAAGCCTAAGTGTACAATTCTTCAGTACATAATTCTTCAGCTTACGATCCTAAATCCTACAATTTTAGTCTACAAATCTTCAGTGTATATATTTCACAGGACATGCAGGCCCCACTTTGCAGCGTTCCACTTTGCAGCGTTCCACTTTGCAGCGTTCCACTTTGCAGCGTTCCACTTTGCAGCGTTCCACTTTGCAGCGTTCCACTTTGCAGCGTTCCACTTTGCAGCGCTTCACTTTGCAGCGTTCCACTTTGCAGCGCTTCACTTTGCAGCGCTTCACTTTGCAGCGTTCCACTTTGCAGCGCTTCACTTTGCAGCGTTTTGCTAATACAGCATCTTTCAATTATACTTACTCTTCCTTTATTCAGGCTTCTTGCAATAAATATTTTCACAACTTACTATAAGCTAAGTACAGAAATATTTTAAGATAAGTAATGATTGTACTGTGCATGCATTTTTTAGGCCTAGATATATTTTTCACCTAATATGTGATAGTGTAAACTTGTTATCAGGCTTTTATATGCATTTGAAAGTGTAAATAAAAGGCTAAGTTTCACTTTACAGCGATTTTCAATTTAGAGCCATTACCTTGAGCCTGACCTGCTGTATAATCGGGGTCCTACAGTAGCTCAGAACCTAACGTGCTGTATAAACGGGGGTCCTACAGTAACCCAGAACCTAACCTGCTCTATAAACGGGGGTCCTACAGTAGCCCAGAACCTAACGTGCTGTATAAGCGGTGTCCTACTGTATACAGTACTTTAGTGTACAATTCTAAAGTGTACAGAGCCTGAGTGCACAATTTCCTTTGTAATGGAAGATTTTAAAACAACTTAGTGTTTTATTTATACCTGACTCAAGTTGGGAAAGTTTAATTGAACTTGATTTATATAACTTAACTCGGCACTAAAACCTCTTCACTAAGTGATTTGTAACGCACAAGAAACTGTTAGAATTATGTGTTCACTGTTATTAATGTTCGTTATGTGTTCACTGACCTTGAGCATATAAGATGCAGGCTGATTTTCCAAGACTTTTCTGTGGGAAAAAAGCTGGCCTTATCGCCTTATTCCGGAAAATACGGTAACTTTTCACGGTTTGGACTTTCTTGTCTTTGTATTCTCGTGTATAATTCTACATGTTATTAGACTGTCCGCGTGCACCTATAACAGATTGAAAATGCAGTTTCTGCTCTTTTTGCCTTTCATCATCATGAAGTTCCTATTTAATCTTTTAGTAACTCAGACCTCTGGTTAAGTGTGAGATTCATTAAATACAAACAAAGGCGTTTCACAAACACGTTCCAGTGTCAGGAGATATCCAATATCGCGTTAAATAGCTTGCTGGAGAGTTTTCTTTTTACTCGGCTTTGTGTTAAGGTGTTTGTAGTTAAGGGAAGAGAATTTGCTTGAGGCTCCCAACGGTCACTGATTTTAGTTACAGCAGCAGGGTGGTGGTGTATCGTTTTCTATGTTTGTAGTTACAGCAGCAGTGTTATGATTTCAATTCAATACAACAAGCAGCCAATAAATGGTACTGGAAGAGAAGAAGTAAAACTTGGGTGGTGGTGACCGTAGAGTTTATAAGTTTGGTGTTGGAAGAGTAAGTGTAACGTGGGTAGCAATGACCGTTGAGTTTATACCCTGGCTGGTATAGGACATAGTGAAATTTGGGTAGCGTTGACCGTAGAGTTTATACTCACTGTTGGAAGAATAAGTGAAATGTTGGTGGTGTCGCATCTTCAGTGTTTGTAGTTGCAATAACATCTTTCCACACTATAAGGGGTTCATGTTAGTCCCTATGAATGACGCCTTCGTTGATGAACAAAACACACGTGTAACACCTAGGTGATAAAGATACTCAGGTGTTGCACGTGTGTCTTATATTAACTTCTCGGTATCATATCCCGTTAATGTGGTGAGACACGTATTGTTTGTGTTACGAGTCCCGAATTTAAACGTATAAACTCCATAACGTCTCCTTCGTACTGTTTACCACGTCCTGCACATGGACGTCTGTACACACCAGTTCTACTGGTGATAAATTCTGTGTATCTAAGCATCAAGAATGGCTCGGGACGTGATATCTGTTATGATAGCGCCACATGCTGAGTACAGCTGTTGTGAGGCTTCTTGCAAATGAATGGTGCCTGTATGAGTTCTGTTTAGTAGATATTTGGACTTTCTGAAGCTGTCTTATATCTCGGGTGATTTGTGACAGAAATTTTAGTAAGGAAAATATGTTGCTAATGGTGTCACAATACTCTTTTTTTTTCTATGGTATACAGATGCTATGGGAAGAACACAAAAGTTAAATAAATTTAATCTAGATTAACCCAGAGAAATGTCTGTGGCAGCTTAGGTTACTAATCCATCAGAGTTAATCTGAAAAACGTCTCTTTCTTCTTCAGAGTTGATGATTGTGGTATTTATTGACTTGGTCCAAAGAAAATGGATTTCAGCCAGAATTTAACAACCAAGACATTTATATTTACTTGAGTTGAAACACACACACACACACACACACACACACACACACACACACACACACACACACACACACACACACACACACACACACACACACACACACACACATACACACACACACACACACACACACACACACGCACACGGGCGCCTGGCAAACCTGAGAATAGCGTTCCGATACCTTAATAAGGAATCGTTCAAGACACTGTACACTGTGTATGTTAGGCCCATACTGGAGTATGCAGCACCAGTCTGGAACCCACACCTGGTCAAGCACGTCAAGAAGTTAGAGAAAGTACAAAGGTTTGCAACAAGGCTAGTCCCAGAGCTCAAGGGAATGTCGTACGAGGAAAGGTTAAGGGAAATCGGACTGACGACACTGGAGGACAGAAGGGTCAGGGGAGACATGATAACGACATACAAGATACTGCGGGGAATAGACAAGGTGGACAGAGATAGGATGTTCCAGAGAGGGGACACAGGGACAAGGGGTCACAACTGGAAGCTGAAGACTCAGACGAGTCACAGGGACGTTAGGAAGTATTTCTTCAGTCATAGAGTTGTCAGCAAGTGGAATAGCCTAGCAAGTGAAGTAGTGGAGGCAGGAACCATACATAGTTTTAAGAAGAGGTATGACAAAGCTCAGGAAGCAGAGAGAGAGAGGATCCAGTAGCGATCAGTGAAGAGGCGGGGCCAGGAGCTGAGTCTCTACCCCTGCAACCACAATTAGGTGAGTACAATTAGGTGAGTACACACACACACATATACTCACACACACACCACACACACACACACACACACACACACACACACACACACACACACACACACACACACACACACACACACACACACGCACACACACACACACACACACACACACACACACACACACACACGCACACACACACACACATATACTCACACACACACACACACACTCACACATACATACATACATACATA